AACTTAGGCTTCCCTCCCCTCCCATCCCTGGTAACCAACAAAAAAGTTTCCTTTCCTTGACTTTTTACAATATAGATTAAGAGAGTATTTCCCCTTCTGTGATTGACTTCTTTCATTCAGCATAATGTCCTCCAAGTTCATCTATGTTATGTGGTATTTTGCAGATTCTACATTATTCTTTAAGGTTGCATCATATCCCATTGTGTGTATGTACCACACATACACAGTTTGTTTATCCATTCCTTGCTTGATGGGCACTTAGGTTGTTTCTGTCTCTTTGTTATTGTGAATAGTGCTGCAATGAACATGGGTGTGCATATATGTTCATGTACTGCCTCTCACTTCTTTAGGATATATACCTAGCGATGGGATTACTGAATCAAATGGTATTTGTTTCTAACTTTTAAGGAATCACCATACTGATTTCCACAGTGGTTGTATCATTTTACAGTCCCACCAGCAATGGATGAGAGTCCCAGTCTCTCCACATCCTCATCAACATTTGTTATTTTCTGTCTTGTTGAACTTTGCTATTAATGCTTGGATGACATAGTATTTCATGGTTGTTTTGATTTGCATCTCTCTAATGGCTAATGATCGTGAGCATTTCTTCATGAGTATGTTGACTGCCTGAATCTCTTCTTTGGTAAATGTCTGTTCATGTCTTCTGCCCCTTTTTTTTTTTTAATTGGATTGTTTGTCTTTTTGTTGTTAAGGTGCTAGAATATTCTGTAAATTTTAGAGATAAGTTCCATATCTATATGTCATTGCCGAATATTTTTTCCCATTCTGTAGGTTCTCTTTTTACTCTTTCGGAGAAGTCTTCTAATGAAATTAAGAATTTAATTTTTAGAAGGTCCCAATCATCTAGTTTATTCTGCTTTTTGTGCATCTTGAGTTATGCTTGATAGTCTATTTAGGCCATAAGTTAGGGCCCCTAAGTTTGCCCCTATTTTTTTTTTTATGAACTTTATAGTTTTAGGTTTCATATTTAAATCTTTGATCCATCTGGAGTTAGTTTTTGTGTATGGTTTGAGGTATGGATCTTGTTTCACTTTTCTGCAAATGAATATCCAGTTTTGCCAGCACCATTTGTTAGAGAGTATCTCTTCCCCATTTAATGATTTTGGACCTTTGTCAAAGATCAGCTGACCATAGGTTGATTCATCAATTTCTGGGTTCTCAGTTCTGATCTACTGATCTATGTGTCTATATATAGATGCCAGGCTGTTTTGACAACTATGGCTGTATAGTAGGTTTTGAAATCTGGGAGTATGAGACCTCCTATTTTATTCTTCTTCGGTAGTGTTTTGCTTATCTGAGGCCTCTCTCCTTTCCATATAAAATTAATGATTGGTTTTTCCATGTCTTCAAAGAATGTTGATGGAATCTGGATTGGGGTTGCATTGAATGTATAGCTTGCTTTGGGTAGTACTGACATTTTCACAGTGTTCAGTCTTCCTGCCCGTGAACATGGTATGTTCTTCCATTTGTGTAGATCTCTTATAGGTTCTTGTTGGAAGGAAAATGGGGCAATCTACTTCTGTAGTGATACTGCCTCGGAAACCCAAGGAGGGGTCGCTATGAGTCGGGGCCGACTTGATGGCACATAACAACAACAACAGCTTATAGGTTCTTGTAGTGTTTTGTAATTTTCCTTGTATCATTATGTGCTCTTTATCTCTGATTTGAATGAAAGAATTTTGTTTAGTTAAATACAAATTAAAGAATTGAACTTCAGTGTTTGATGCTAATGTTAAAATATGACATCTCCTTGAAACAATTTAGACTTGACTACAGAAGGAAATCCTTTTGATTGACTTTAAAAATATGTTTCTAGAACTAGTGGACCTGGATCCCGGAACAGTCAGTTTGGCATATTTTCCAGTACTGAAAAAATCAAGGACCCAAGACCGCTTAATGACAAAGCATTCATTCAGCAGTGTATTCGACAACTCTGTGAGGTATTTTATAATTTTAAATAGTCTAAATTTTGCATGTTCTCATCGGCATTTTTTTGGTAATTTTTCTCTTATAAAATATCTGATGTTTCATAAAGATAATTATAGTTTCTTACAGAAAATGGTTATGCTTATAGTATATCCATGAAATCTCTACAAGCTCCGTCAGTTAAAGACTTCCTAAAGATCTTCACTTTTCTGTATGGTTTCCTGTGCCCTTCATATGAACTTCCTGATACAAAGTTTGAAGAAGAAGTTCCAAGAATCTTTAAGGATCTTGGGTTTGTATGTTATATCTGTCATTAGCCTAGAGGGATTGTTGGAGCACAGAGAAGAATCAGACTCAATGAATTTGTAGACTTGAGTTAGACAAAGAACATGTTCTAAGATGATCACTATGGGCTCAATATGGAAACTAAATTGAACAAGCAAAAAATTGACTATTTGCTGGTCATTGGCAAAGCTGCAGGTGGTATATCCTAAGACCCTGATCTGTTTAAGTGACAGGAGAAATAGAAACAATGGGCTAGATATAAGAAATGTTATAGATGTGGAAAAGACAAGATTGAAGGCCTGGTGAAAATGGGGTGAGATGAAGTCAAAAGGGGCTTCAAAAATTTTAACTTGGTTTTTAGACGGTTTGTGCTATTGATTATAGAGTAAACCACAGGGCTAGGAATGGATTTAGGAATGACGAATGCTTACTTGTGGTTTGCTTAATTTAGAATATATTGAGTTCTAAGAAACAAAAGATCTTTTGGTAGAGAAGTCCAGTATGTTGTTTGTTGATCAAGTTCTGCAGTGTATGATGGCTAGACGTACATAGCAACCGATGAAGAAGATAAAAAGAATAAAATCATTCAAGAGTTAGATTTCTAAGGACAAGATCTTAGTAAGTAACTTACTTATAAATAAGTGAAGACTTGGAATGTATATGCTGAATTTTTGAAATGTAACTTCTTACTTAGCTTAATTATTTTTACTGGAATAATATATTAGGAGCTCTGGTGATATAGTGGGTAAGGCATTTGGCTACTAACCAGAAGGTCAACACTTCAGACCCACCAGCTGCTCTGCAAAAGGAATATGAGGCCATCTACTTTCATAAAGATTTACAGCATTGGAAACCCAACAGGGATCACTATGAGTCAGAATCAGCTCAATTGCAGTGGTTTTAGAGAATATAAAATAACTTTATTTTTTCTAATTTTTTATAGGTATCCTTTTGCATTGTCCAAAAGCTCCATGTATACCGTAGGGGCCCCTCATACATGGCCTCACATTGTGGCTGCCTTGGTTTGGCTAATAGACTGCATCAAGGTACTTGATTTGTCATTTTAGATATACATATGAGAAAAAAAGGTATTTCGCTTTTTCTCCCAATCCTGCATTTGCCAATATAAAGTCTACTTTAGAGTTTTACTTTTCAAAGTACATTTGATTTTTTTAAGTTCTTCAAAGTATATATGTATACATATATAATGGAAATGTATACATTGTCAAGGAGATCATTTGAGGTTTTACAACTCAAAAAACAGAAAACTTATTATTTCCACCATGACATTCTTTAGTTTTATTTTATTTTATTTCCTTCTTTCTAATTAAAATCCATATCCATTGCAAAAAGTTTGGGAAAATACAGAAAAGCACATGCGAAAAATGATAAACAAATAGCCTTACAACCTAGAGACAATAACTGATAACATTTCTTTGGGACTTAGTTTTTAAAGTGCATTATTGCTACACAAAATATGTATTTTTTTAAGCTTTTGATACATATTAACAAATTTCTCTCCAGAAAATTTACACAAATTAAAAGCTTCTCAACAACATATGTACGTGTCCATTTTGCCACATCATAGACATTATTGTTTTAAGATCTTTACCAACTGAAAAAAAATAACTTGTTTTAATTTATATATATTTATTATGATTATGATTATTGAACTTTTTATATGGTTTATCATTTATATTTCTTCCAACCTGGTTGTGTTTTTTTAAGCCTATTTTATATTGGATTATTTGCTTTTGCCTATTAATTGGGACTCATATAGTGAGATCTTCATATATTAAGTATATTAATATTTTTCATATTAGTGTGGCAAGCAAAAATCGATGGCTAATTTTTTCAGATTTTTGTTTTTGTTTTTAAAGATAAACATTCTATCACATTTATTTTAACTGCCTAGTCATGTCTTTTGCTATTTTTCTTTTTTCTTTCTGATTTGCAAGAACACTGTAAGTCAAAAATGTTCAACTTAGAGAAATTAGCCCCTGTATATATGGTACAAATATTTTTCCCTCTTTTTCCTTTTCATTTTATGTCCTGTTTTTTCACTGTTCAGAAATGTTGAATTTATCTACTTTAATGCTGTATCTTCCTTTCATTGCTTCTAAGTTTTCTGTCCCACCTGGTGTTCAAATCCTTAAAATTAATACTCATATTCTCTTGGCCATCACCAAGCAAGTAAATGTAGGTAGGCACTGGGACTTGGTGGGTGAATTTTGATCCAGGAACCATGCTAGTACATTCATTACCACCAGCTGTCAAGATAAGAGTAGAAATCCAATACTATAGTCCATTAATGAAACTCACATTTTATTGGACTTTATAACATTCATGCATTCAATTTGTCTCTCAGTGATGCCTGTGAATGTTAGGTAATCTTCTCTCTGCTCTCACTATCAAATAACCCTATTGTTACTAGACACTTTCACCCTTGTTTGCCTGGTTGGAGATGGCATTTCCACAGTGATACAGGAGCTTGATGTGGCTCCTGTTGGGGAGAGGAACCTCTTAAAATGCCTCCAAGTCCGTTATCTGGATTGAAATCCCTTCCTTGCTATCTTTAATTGCTTGAAGTTGTTTGTCAAATACTGTGGCAATGTGAAAATCAATGAGAGACTAGGTAGGTTTCGTGTTCCAAGTATCTTTCCATTTAGCATTATGTTGGAAATCTGGCTACATTTAGGAAGGCCTCCTTTACTCCCTGATGTTAGGGAAAAAAATTCAGATTTTTTTTTTTCTTTTGGTAGTGTTTTCATGGCTTCTTTGTGTGTAGTTAAATCTTGATCCATCTGAAATTTATTCTTTTGTAAAAAGAAGAAAACCTTATCTTTTAAAAAGTTCGTTCAGTATCATTTATTGAATAATCCATCTTTTCCTCACAGTTTTGAATTGTTACTGGTATGTTCTGTTCCTGCATTGTGACCATTCTAATCTTGTAGCTTTATAATAGACTTTTATCTAGTAGAGGAAGATTTATAATATTTTTCATAATTTTTCTGGCTGTGCTTATGTCCTCATATTCACACACTTTAAATTATATTTTTCCCAATTCCAAAAGATATCTTGTGATTTTTCTTTTTTATTGGTATCACGTTGAATTCATAAATTTATTTAGGGGGTAAGTGCCACCTTGACAATATTTATTGTTCCCATTTAGGAAAGTGATAAATACGTGATTTAATACTTTGTTCCTTTAGTAAAGGATCAAAGCTTACTTCATATTGGTCTGCATATTTTCTGCTAACGTTAATTCCGAAGTAATTCCATGTATTTTGTTAATATTGTGAACAGGACTTTTTTTTTCCATTGTATTTTCTAAAATCACTGCTAAAAGGCTATGTATTTGTTTTATTTATTACTTTTATTAAATTGCTTTATTACTACTTTTCTAAGTTGATTTTTAATACCACTGTTTCCAAATGAAATATTTTCTATTTTATCATCTAGTTATGATATGTTCAGATAGAACACTGTTTTTTGTTTTGAAGTATACCTTCCTATTTCTAGTTTATATCAAGAATAATTATTAAAGATTATTATATGCTTTTCCAGGACCTATAGAGATTTTTGTTTCCTCTTGATGTTGCATTACAGTGGAAAAATGACACCTTTAGCTAAAAAAAAGATTACTCTGCTCCATATTTCTTCTTATCTCTATACAACTTCAGGTTGAGACTATTTTGACCAGATCTCCTAAGTTCAGAAGAACTTTCCAGTCCTTGCAGTAGAGTCTTTTCATTAGCTCTTTCAGATCTTTTTGTCCTTATGTAAGGTTCTTGAACCTTGCAGAGTACCAAGTTTTTGTAAGGACCTGTGACAAGGCTACAGAAATTCTTTCTTAATCTACCCCGATGACAAGGTGGAGGATTCTGTTCTTCATTTTGGGGTTTGCCCCATGTGTTTTTCAGACTTAATTAAATCTGACTGTCACTGTGGCTCTAACTGTGGAGGAAAAGGTACAGAATGACAGAGCTTCCTTGCATTCACTCTGGATATACAAAAAGTCCCATGAGTGGCTTTGGAATGGAAAAAGGGTGGGGGGCTAGCAACTCAGCACTAAAAATAAGTGTTCCCTCTCATAAATACTAGATAGGAGACCCAGGATAAGAAAACTCAATTAAATGTTGTTTTCAACAGAAAATGCATTCTTCTTTTATGTACTTCTGATGCATAGTCCTCTTTTCAGAAGCATAGCATTCATTTTACTACATATACACTTAGATCTTAACATTTTATATCTTAAATTTATACGTTTAAGTTTTCTTAATTTTTTTCATGTTTGAAAGCTTATTTTTTAAAAAAAGTTATTAAAAAAAATAAGTGTTCTGAAATGAGATTTTTTATTTCTTAAAAACCTTTAACTATTTTTCTTCCACCTTGTCAATTTTAAGCATTTTCTGAATTTTTTTGTTACCACAAAAAATTTTTTTGTTACAAAATTTGTTATCCCTTTCAAGCTTAAACAAGTACCTGTGGTATTTTTGAAGATTTTATGTAATAAGATTTAGTCTGAATTTATATTGAAAATATATATATTTGGTCAATATATATAGTGAAGAATGACTTGATAAAATTTGAGCCCCAAAATTTAGTTCATATGAAAGAGAAATAATTGTTATTGTTTCACCTTTTATGTGACAATTCTGTTTTGAATTCTCAAAATTTTAATTACCTTAAAAAGTGTAGATTATGGATTAATAGCAGTATAAAGGTTAGTATGTTTTTCTTTGTAGAACAGAAGTAAATATGGAAACCATGCTTTCTTAATTGAACAGGATTCATTTACTAAAATATTGAAAGAATCATATATTAAGGCTCAATATAACTCTCAAAGGAAAATTTTAGTCATGCAGTAATGTAAATGCTTCTAAACATGACATGAAAAACAAACTTGACAAAACATGGAAGGTATGTGACTTAAAGCCAAAGATCAACTTCATATATTACTTGTGTATTAATTAGTTATACACTGCCATGAAAGAAAGCTCACCTACGTTTGATGATGGACAGCCTTGGGGAGAAGAAACTGAAGATGGAATTGTGCATAACAAGGTACTATGCTTTGTCATATACTGTAATAAAGAGTTCTCTTGGTATTATTAAGTAACCAAATGTGTCACTATAAATATACATCCTTTTGTAGAACATTTCTTTTTGCTTTCTGACAAACTACTAAAATTTATTTTTACAAATATTAATCAATGGATCTGTTGGAGTCACATTATAGTTTCCTAGGTAACCAGAAACAGAAATTAGAAAATGTGAACTAAGTAAAAATGCAAGGTTGGAATTACATAGTAACACGTTAATGTTGTATATTATAGATAATTCTTTTCTTCCCCTATATTTTAAAATGAAAATATCAATATTGGCAACATTATTTTAACATTATTCTGTCGATATAAAGAATAATTTGGGTCTTAAAATGTTACATGTGGATTATTTTCTGTTTGTTGTATCTTGTTTTGGCCATTTTAGTTAGGCATCGAGCCACTGAGGTCAGCTTTGCCACTTCCTAAACAACAACAAAAGTGGCTGAGGTAGAAACAAAGAGGCAGTGTGAATTGGTTTCCACACCATACTTGATTGGAGCCTAAACTGTGCATACCCTGGAAGCATAGTGCCTACGGCACTTGACTGCTAACCAGAAGCCTGGCGGTTCAAACCCGCCGGCCACTCCTCAGAAGGAGGGTTGGGCAATTTACTTCTGTAGTAATACTGCCTCAGAAACCCAAGGAGGGGTCGCTATGAGTCAGATATTATTCAAAGTACATAACAACAACAACCTGTGGAACCCACCCCAGCCTATTTCCTGAAACACTCAAATATATATATCCAAATAGAGTAAAGCAGCTCCAAGAAATAAATTTAAGGTGTGGAGATTGTACATTAACATCTCCTAGCATGTGTTAAAGACCAATCCCCATGAAGGCTTTGAAAAGAAAACCTATTCTTTGTTCTAATTCTAAGCATAACTTGTGATGTATTTGTCACAGAAGGCAAGTGTGATTAACTGTAGCCTCATAGTTTATTACTGCCTTCAAGGGAAATAGTTCAAAGATGTACCAACTGACTGGCATAGTTTCATTGCTGTTTCTTCACTCACTCCCCTCCCCTATACAAAAAACAAACATGCCCCTTAATCCCTGCTGGAGAGGCTGCTAAAAGCCTTTGATTCTACACTTGAAAGAATCCTCCCACATTGCAATGTGTATACTGGACTAAGCTTAGTTACACCTAAGTTTTCACCCAAGTACAATTATAAAAATACCTATAAGTATTAAATTTCTTGACATTCATCTTAAAGGCTAAACCAATAAAAGTTATTCTTGATACTTCACGTGTTAAAGGTACCATTGCTTAATGTCCGCAATATGTTCTATAAAATAGGACCTTTTATGATTTGAATGCTGTGTTTAAAAAAAAAAAAAAAAACTCACAGCCATCAAGTTGATTCCGACTCATAGCAACCACTCCTGGGTTTCCGAGGTGGTATCTCTACAGAAGTAGATTGCCCAGTTCAGAGGAGTAGCTAGTGGGTTTGAACCACCAGCCTTCTGGTTAGCAGTCAAGTGCCTTAGGCACTGCGCTACTAGAGCTCCCAGTGCTATGAACACCATATCAAAACCCTGCTTCCAGTCATCTTCGTAACTGCTGATGATGATGACTATGACGACACTGACCATGGCCAAAGGAATGGGTGCTGGCAGCTGAGGGGGGCTCAGCCTGCTAAGCAGAGCCAGAGGAAGCTAGTGGGGAGGGAAACAAGACCACCCAGTCTGGCCCATCTGGCTGCCAACCTGACAAAGCCTGAGAGCCTGCTCCTAGAGCCCTGTCCTCTGCCTCACCAGCCTGTATCATCCCAGCCGTGGTCCAACATTGCAAGAGTCTAGGTTTGGGGTCTTTAAAAGCATTAGGAGGGAATAATAAACAAAAGGAAAACTGCTTTCCCTTTCTAAACCAAAAAACCTTATGAGACCACAGATATATATGTGGTAGGGCAAGGTTACATGTTGCCCCACAAGACGTTAAGCAACTCATACCTGTATTTTATATAATACAGAAGAAGCATTTGGGAAACTATAAAGTTAATTAAAGACAGTTAGCAGAGGATCCAGTATCCCTGTGTTGTTCTTAGGTGCCATCAGGATGGCTCCAACTCTTAGCCACTCCACTATGTACAACAGAAGAAAGCACTGCCCAGTCCTGTGCCATCCTGACAATCCTGCCTGCACTTGAACCCATCATTGCAGCCACTATGTCAATCCATCTTGTTGAAAGTCTTCCCCTTTTTTACTGACCCTCTATCTTACCAAGCATATCCTTCACTACAATTTCACTGTAGTAAGATTCTGATCCTCAGTTTTGTGGGTCCAGAAACTCAAGTTTTTTTAACCTGTCAGATCAAATTTAACCAAGCTTCCAAAAAACAAAAACAAAAACCTCACTGCTGTCGAGTCAAACCCAACTCATAGCGACCCCTCCTTGGGTTTCTGAGGCGGTACCACTACAGAAGTAGATTGCCCAACCTTCCCTCTGAGGAGTGGCTGGTGGGTTTGAACCTCCAGCCTTCTGGTTAACAGTCAAATGCCTTAGGCACTATGATACTAGAGCTCCTTAACCAAGCTTATGAAAATAATTCAGCCTTACCAAATTCACATGAGATTGTTCTGTAAGTAGAAAGAATAGTTATTAATTTACCATGAGTGGTAACCTTCCCAGTTACAGAAATATTCATAATGCCTATTCAGGGTACTTCTTCTGTGTCAGCCAAGCAATAAGAAGGTTGCTTATTAAGCAGAGAATTAGCACAAAGGGAATAGTTTTGTCTTTAGGGATATTTACTTCATCCAGGCTATGGAAAATTGTGATCACCCATGCTTGCCTCCTAATAGTGTATTCATCCATAATTACCAAAATACCTCATGTCTACAAAGTATAGTCTTACTTTCTCTTAGATAAGTACTAAGATAAGTAATAATTTCTTATGTTCTACTTAGATCCCCACTTACCATGCAACTTTTTATTTTATTTTTTTAATTTTTGTTGTGATTTGGGTGAAAGTTTACAGAGCAAATTCATTTTCTGTATAGCATTTCATGCACATTTTGTTTCATGATATTGACTACAATTCCCCACAATGTAACAATTCTCTTCCCACTTCCTGCCCATAGTGTCCTTCCCTCCCATGCACTCCCCACCACCCCACTTCCCAGCTATTCCCCTGTGCAAACACTGCCCTTTTGTTCTCCCACAATTGATCACTCGAAGTAGTGTGTCTACCTGATGTGAATGATCACACCATATGCCTACCTATTATTTGGCTGGAAGTCGCAGGAGTGAGTTCAGTTCCACGCCTAAAGAGGCCAAAATCTCAGAGGTCTCACTAGGCTCTATCAGACCAGTAAACCTGGTCATTTTTATAATTTTGAGTTTTGTTCCACATTGTTCTCCTACTCTATCCAGTATTTCCTGCACCGGTCCCTTTCCAAGTGGTTGACAGTGGTAGCCAGGCATCATCAGTTCTTCTGGTCTCATGGTCACATAGGCTGAGGATCTCATGATGTCCTAGTCCCTTGGACTAACTGTTTGCATGCATCTTTGGTTTTCTTCATTCTTGTTTGTTCTGGATGAAGAGAGACCCATTGTTGCATCTAGATGGCCACTTGCAAACTTTTAAGATCACAGGTGCTACTCACCAAAAGTCGGATGTAGAACAATGTTTTTGTGTAGTGTGTTATGCCAATTGAGTTTGATGACCCCTGCGACCATGGTCCCAAGCCCAAAGGTCCAACTGCTCGTTCACTTAGGGTGGCTGGCTGTGGCCAGGAAGCCACCACAACCCTGCCCCTTGTCAGCTCCACTGTACACCTGGACATTCCTACAGCACATACAAATTCACATGTAGAAGCATTGTCTGCCAACCCTACACATGGTCATGGCCATACTACCCCCTGTCTAGACATACCTGATCATAGAGTCTGTCCACCCATCTATCCAGCCATAGATCAGTGCTTGCCATCACTCATAATGCAGTACTACACATGCAAAAGGGTTCATCTTTGTTGTCTGTACCTCCCATGCACCTCTCTGTGTCTTTCTCTTCCTCATTGCCACCATGCTGATCACTCACATTTGGTACATTGCCCTTCCCTTCATGCAAATCAATGCTTGTCTCTACCTATCTATCTATCTATCTAGCAGTGTTCCCGCCACTCCCTGGTAACCATACTGGTAACCAACAAAAAAAGCTTCCTTCCATACATAAACCTTTCTTCGAATTTTTACAATAGTGAACTAATACATTATTTGTCCTTCTGTGATTGACTTGTTTCCCTCAGCATAATATCCTCCAAGTTCATTCAAGTTATGCGGTGCTTCACAGATTCTACATTATTCTTTAAGGGTGCATAGTATTCCGACTTGATGGCACATAACAACAACAGTATTCCATTGTGTGTATGTACCATACTTTGGTTATCCATTCTTCTGTTGATGGGCACTTAGGTTGTTTCCATCTCTTTACTATTTTAAATAATGCTGTGATGAACATGGGTGTGCATAAATATCTGTTCTTTTCCTCACCTTCACTTCTCTAGGATATATACCTAGTAATGGGATTGCTGGATCAAATGGTATTTCTAATTCCAACTTTTTAAGGAATCGCCATACTGCTTTCCACAGTGGTTGTGTCATTTAACAGTCCCACCAGCAGTGTATGAGAGTCCCAATCTCTCCACATCCTCATCAACATTTGTTATTTTCTATGTTGTTGAACTTTGCTATGAGTGCTGGGGTAAGGTGGTATCTCATCGTTGTTTTGATTTGCATCTCTCTAATGGCTTAGGAGCTCTGGTGGCATAGTGCCTAAGACATTTGACTGCTAACCAGAAGGCTGGCGGTTCAAACACACCAGCCACTCCTCAGAAGGAAGATTGGGCAATCTACTTCTATAGTGATACCACCTTGGAAACCCAAGGAGGGGTCGCTATGAATCAGATCTGACTGGACAGCAATGAGTTAAGTTTGAATAATGGCTAATGATCATGACATTTCTTCATGTGTTTGTTGGCCACCTGAATACCTTCTTTGGTGAAGTGTCTATTCATTTCTTCTGCCCATTTTTTCATGATGTTGTTTTTAAAATCCACTTAACCCTATTAGTTGTTTTTAGACTACACCATAAAATGCTATGAGAGTTTTATGACTGGTGCTGATAGCTTTGAAGAGATGAACACAGAATTGCAGTCAAAACTGAGTGAGTGTTCTTTTTTCCTAATGTGTTTGCTTTTGGTCATTTAAATTATCTCGTCTTATGAAGTTGTAGCTTATCTTAACCTATGCAGTGTTAATATAAGCCATTTACTTTAATACATTTTGATGCCTGCTGATTTTCACCTTCATGGTTTCTTTGGTGAAGAGAATAAGAAAGAATGCTGAGGCATAATACATTACTGGCTATGTGACCTTAACAAGCTACTTAACCTGGCTAACAGAGTTTTACAAGATTATATAGCAACATATGTAAAGTACCAGACACACTATCAGGAACATAGAAGATAATCAGCAAATATTATTTCTCTTGGTTAATAGTATCCTTATGATAGCTTTGCTTTATTATTGTTAATTCAAAGCACCAATTAGTCAAAAGATCTAACATCTCAAATTTGTAGCAGAAAGTTAATATTGCAAATAAGGAAATTAGTTATTTTTTTTACTCAGCTATAATCTAGTGGCATTCAGTATTTACTGGCTAACTCTAAAATGTTCCAGAGATGTTGTTTTACATTGTTACACTTTATATATAAACACCAGATTCATAAGTAAAGACAACATAGGAGACTATCATCTTACCGCTATTAGCACAGAAGATGAAAGCTTTCCCATATGCTCTCCTGGGATTGTACCTCCTGAAGAGTAACCAGAACAATTTGAGTGTGTTCACATGGGAAAGGGAGTAAGATAGTGATGGGAGTTTTGTTTTATTTTCCAAAAGAAATATTTGTAATAGATCTAATGCAGAAAATATCTAGTAAATTATTTAATAATTCTGTATTTAATTTAGCATACTGATTCCATTCATTTATTCAAGCAACTGTTTGTTATATACCTATTGTGCACTCATCACTGTTTAGTCACTCAGGATACAGTCATGAATAAAAAATAATGGATCAGTAACTGGAAGGCAAATGGTGATAAATGCTATGGAGAAAAATAAAGCAGGGTAAGTGGGAGTATACACTGGAATAAAGGGAAGAATTTGCTGTTTTCAGAGAGTAGAATATAAGGAAGTAAGGGAGCAAGCAATGGTGAAACAATGGGAAAGAATATTCTACGCAGGTTTAAGGTCTCATAAAGTCTTTTGGTTTTGTCTCCAGAGGATTTATTTAATGTAGATGCTTCCAAGCTGGAATCATTAGCAGCAAAAAACAAAGCATTGAATGAACAGATTGCAAGATTGGAACAAGAGAGAGAAAAAGAACCGGTTAGTAAACATGCTTGTCATCAATAGGCATACACATTTGAAATAGCTTTTAGATTCTTGGATCTCCTCAGAGATCCAACTAATCTTTTACTTACTTATTTTAAAAAAAAAAAAAAATTCACAAACTAAGTATTTTGTAAAGTACTTTTGCATAGGAAGAACTCCCTATGAAAACATGTTTGGTATTTGTGGAGCTTTGTTTTCCCCTGTGGTCTGAAGTCTTAAACTAATGGTGTTCAGAAGATGATGAAAGATTCGTACCTCTTTACATAAGACTGAAAGTATCTTTTATACAAGGTCCCCATGTTACATACCTTCAGGGAATATTATTCATAAGAGACCTTGAGTTTTATAGTTAGTGAAAAAGGAATGATAAAAAATGAGCTTTCTAAAAGCTAAATGATAATAGCCACATGTCTAATTTATTTTGTGTGTTATGTTACTAAAGCATAAATGTTCATAAAACGTTTGTGCTTTTCTACCCTGGCTCTTGTTTTAAGATCCTCTTATTCTTTTGATTGTTTCTAAAATTGAAAGGAAAATTTTAATTTACTTTTCTCTGAAATAAATAATACTGCTTTGCTTTCAAATAAAGTATGGAGTGATTATTGATGAGAGAAACCAATTTAATATTCTTTTCTTTAAAAGAATCGTCTAGAGTCATTGAAAAAACTGAAAGCGTCCTTGCAAGCAGATGTTCAGAAGTATCAGGCATACATGAGCAATCTGGAGTCGCATTCAGCCATTCTTTGCCAGAAACTGAATGCCCTGGATGAAGATATTGCTAGAGTAGGTAAGTACATCTAATGCTAACAAATCATTCAGACTGGAAGACAGCTACCTGGCAAATGACTGCTAGAGATCCATATTTGTTCTCCTTCCAAAGAAAAGTGATCTGACAGAATGTAGAAATTATCATACCATATCACACACAAGTAAAATTTTGCTGATGATAATTCAGACAATTAGCAGCAGTAGATCCACAGGCAACTACCAAAGTTTCAGACTAAATTCAGAAGAGGACATGGAATGACAGATATCACTGCTGCTGTCAAATGGATCTTCTCTGAAAGTGGAGAATACCACAAAGACGTTTACCTATGTTTTATTGACTATGCAAAGGCATTCAACTGTGTGGATACTTGAAAATTTTCTTTTAGAAAGATCAACACAAGACTGGTCTCTATGAGGTAGAGGTTAAAGATGTCCCAAATGTCCAACTTTCCCAGACTACTGTGCCACTCCATGATCTCTGACATCAACTCCTCCTCCTCTCCTCAGTAATCTCCCTCCCATCTTAGGGTTTCTGAAGTTCACTATAACGTCTCACAGAACTCACAGACTCCAAGGAAATGGCTCATGTGATGATGGTGGAGACTGGCAGGCTGGCAAGTCCCAGGTCTATGGGTAGGTTTGGAGGGTTCTCCTAACTCATGTGGTTGCAGAGGTGGCAAACCAAAATCGGCAGGTCAGATGACAGCTGCTGTCTCAAGTCTAGGTACGAGATGATGACAAACCAAATGCAGAACCAGAGCAAAAGAGTGAACTTTCCCAGAATATTGCTATATGTTACCCTCATGGAAGCTAAGGATGGTGACTTGAGTCACACCCTTAAGCAAGGTGGGACTCAAAATGCATCCCACCCTAAACAGACATAGGGATTAGGATTTACAAAATGGAGGACAAAATATGGCTAGAAGGGCCATGTTAAACAATTCACTGCAATGCAGTGGATCATAACAGATAATGGATATCATAATGGGAATTCCAAAACAATTGTGCTCCTGTTGAACCTGTGCATAGACCAAGACGCCATCGTTAAACAGAACAAGGGGATACTGTGTGGTTTAAAATTAGTAAAGGTATGTGTCAGGATTGTATCTTTTCATCATACTTATCCAGTCTGTGTGCTAAGCAAATAATCCAAGAAGCTAGACTATATGAAGAAGAACATGACACGTCTCTAGTATTAGAGAAAGACTCATTAAAAACTTGAGATACATACATGACACAACCTTACTTACTAATTGTGAAGAGGACTTGATGTATTTACTGATAAAGATTAAAGATGGCTGCATTAAGTTTGAATTATACCTCAACATAAAAAACATAAAAATTCTCATAATTGGACTAATAAGAAACATCATTATAAACAAAGAAAATATTGAAGTTGTCAAGGATTTCATTTTACTTGGTTCCACAGTCAACATCCATGGAAGCAGCAGTCAAGAAATCAAATGATGTATTATTTAGCATTGGGCAAATCTGCTCCAAAAAACCCCTTTACAGTGTTAAACAGCAAAGATGTCATTTTCAGGACTAATGTGAACTTGGCCCAAACTGTGATATTTTCAATAGCCTCATATGCATATGAAAGCTGAACAATGTATAAGGAAAACCAAAGGATTTCAGTTGTGGTCTTGGCCAAAGAATATTGAATATACAGTGGACTTCTAGAAGAATGAAGAACTCTATCATCAGGAGGGACCAATCCCTAGAGAAGGATATCATGCTTGGTAATAGAGATGGCCAACGAAAAAAAGAAAGACTCTTAACACCTCTCTCCTGGGTTCGATAATTCGCTGCAGTGGCCACACAGAACTCACAGATTATGAGGTTTATTAGGGAAGCACCAGACTACAATTCAAGTTCAGGAAAAACGCTCAGTCTCTCCCAGCCCACCATATCTCAGCCAAGTCTCTCACAGTCTCTCCCCCAGCAGTTCATGTCCCTCGGTGTCTTACTCAGCAACACGTGTCTCTTGAGTCTCTTTCCCAGCAGCGCATGCCTCTTCCAGCAGCACATGTCTCTTTCGGCAGCACATCTTCCTCAACCAGCAGTCAGAGAGAGTTCTGCCTCTAGGAGGCCTCCTTTCGAGCTTGGCAGAGTGGCCAAACCAACCAATCATAACAACAGAATTCTAAGCAGTTGAGAGAGAGTGGGCACCTCCCAGGACATTGTTCCGTGCCACTCCCAAGAGAAATACTCCTGGTGGACAACTTCAGCAATCAGGAGCTCCTCAGTTGCTCATAGAAAATCCCACCTTGGAGTTTACAAAGACTTATGGGTAGAAAAGCCACACTAAGTAATTTACTACACTGCAACTACCTACTAAGCAATTCATTATCTTAAACTGCTTAAAAGTAAGATGAAAAGCTGCAAGTACTGCAATTCTTGGGAAGCAAAAGACTAACTAAAGAAAACCTGTGTCTTCCTAACCTTGTTTTCATAAACTGATATCGTTCTTAATCGTAAGTCTGGAAAATACTGTATCAGACACAATTGATTAACATTTCTAAGATTCCAGAATGAGGGCAAAGGAAGGTATGTATAATCACAGAGCCATTGGACTGTGGATTAAAAGACACAATTATAGGGATTTTGTTTATTCTTTTTGGTTTCTACACAGTGTATGCCCCATACAGGAGCTATGCAGATGATCCTTAAGATATTTGATTTTAGCCCTTAATCTATGGAGTGTTGATCATCTGTCCAAGTGAGACTATTAATTAACTAGGGTATTTCTGAGTCTTTTTTTTTTTTTTCTTTTTTCCAAAAAAGTCTGATTATACATATTGGATTTGCTCTTAACCAGCTTTTTAAATGTGTTACACTTCACCCTTAATTTGTTTCTTTGTTCCCCATGATGATAAGGAGCTATACTCAAATTTTTTATTTAAAGCAATGTTTATAAAACAATTAAATCAGTACTTTCTGTATTAATACTCTATCTTCTTTACTGATACTTATTCAAGTGTGTTGTCAGCATTCCTACTTGTTCTTGTGAGGAATTTTTTTCCAGTAGTAGCAAACTGAGTGGGTAAAAAATATTTCAGCAATACTTTGCCATTCCAGAGTGATTTAGTTGTTTGGGGTTTTTTTAATTGTGATTTGGGTGAAGATTTACAGAGCAAATTCACTTTCCATACAGCAGTTCACATACACTTTGTCTCATGTCATTGACCACAGTTTACCACAATGTAACAATTCCCCTCTCACTTCCTCCCCATAGTTACCTCTTCCCAGTGTCCATCCCTCCATACACACCTGCCCCCTG